TGCGCGGGCGCGGGTGCGTGGTGGCGCACGTGGTGGCGGCGCGGCGCGGGCTCGGCCGCCAGCGCCGCCACCAGGTCCTGCAGGGAGTTGGAGTGTGGTAGCGCGCGGCGGCCCCGCGCCCCGCGCCGCGCCCCCGCCCCGCGCGCCCCCAGCGTGCGCGCCGCCGCCTCGCACGCCTGCTCGTCCTGCTCCACCTCCTCCAGCAATTCCTAACACACACATCGTCGCGCGTTACGCATTGGCCACTTACACTCCGCGATTCGCTCTTATAATTGCAAAGTATTTATTGCTAAGAATTTACCTTAGCCACAAATTTGAAAAGAGAAAAGGTTACGATCGCTTAACTGCTCGTAATTTCCTCATAAGTCGAAAAGAAAACCATACAAACAAAATACTTGACAAAAAGTTTACGATAACAAAGACGGCATTTCAAACAGGGATTTACGTAAGTTCAAAACGTAAGCCTGGCATACAAATACAAAATATTTTTAGCACTAACCTTAAATAGACTGCTTTTACCCTCTCGGTCTTTGGGACACTTGTATGTGATAGCCTCGTCCAACAGCGCTCGCAATTGTCCGTCGTCTAAAGTCTCTACATGTTTGTTGTTCTGTTGACAAAGATAAAATGATTGTTTAATCAATACGGTAATGTTACATTGCGAACTGCTCACGTTCACTGACAAACTAATTTACGTTATGTAAAAAGCAATAAAGATCAAAGACTAAGAAATAATAATTTGACTAAGTAATAAAAAAAAACTAAGAAATAATTAATAATTATTAATTTATAATGATTAATTCGGCTGTCAGACACTCACACAATTTCTTAATTTTTGTTTTGTATCTGTTAGTCTTCCAAAGTTGTTAAATAAATAAATAATTATCTTCCCTGAGAAAATGAATGGAAACATTCTAGTCTGATTTAAAGTGAATTTCATAATAAAGTAACGTCGATTTTCATTCTGTACAAACAATTTATAAAAAATAAGTGGTTAACATGGTCAGCTGAGCATGTGGCCTGTGCCCTATGAAATAAACTTATATGTCTTATCTCATTTATTCAACAAATTGCTGATAAGTACTGGGCCGTATGAAAAATAATATTAAGTTTTGCGCAAATCCCAATAAACTTAGCTAATATTCAGACACACGACATTTTAGTACAGTAGAATGTACAAGTTTGTAAAAGATGGGTGGATGTTTGTTACTATTCCATGCGACTAATAGATTCCGATAAGGCTGAGTACATACATAGATAAACCATGACCTGGATTAACGCGTAAGATGATTTTATTGTAACGAGGATCGGCCGGCTACTGGGTATAAAGTACAAGTGCGCTAGGTCTGATGCTGATAGTAAGTACGAATGCTTAACAGTCAGTGGCACGTATTCATTATTCAGCCCAGTACATCAGTCAGACACGATAGTCACGCCACTTACAAGTCACGGGGCTGATGTAATTCCAAACACTAATTAACTTAATGGCGAGCCAGTTTTGTGGTTTATTCAATATCCAAACAATTACGAATATTTCTATTTACTTACATTTCTATCTGGCTGATTGGGTTTCCAGAAGGGATTGTAGTTTTAATCGACCCAAAAGTGGGAGAATATGAAGAGTAAACACCCAATGAAACACAACAAACCATTCAATTTAATTAATCATCGATAGCTGTTTGCTTCCTGAGCAACGGCACGATAGTTTGCAGTCTATTTGAAATCGAGATTGACTTTGATCTAATAAGTGACAGTAACAATTAAGTTATCAATATCCTTCAAGGACTTCTATGAGTGATCGCATCATTCGAATAGCATTTTTTCACGCTGACAACGCAGATTTGCGTGATAATACACAATACCTACTCAATACTAATAGATATAAAATAACGTAACCATCGCGTCTGATCTTAAAAGAAACTGACAAACATATGGAAAAATGCCAAAATTTTGCCGACAAACACGAGACACACTGTCTGGTCCCCGCGTATTACATTGTCATCCGGAATTCGTAAAACTGAAATCATTGATAAGCAATCTCAGTAAGGTTTTAATGTATTTAAAATTTTAGGTGTTATAAAAAATACAGAAAAATCGCATAATGAAATTGGTTTTCTGGAATTTACAAACTAAAATCTATACACCACACACAGAAGTATCTTCTAATTTCCTATCGAGAAATAAAAATAAGACTTGTCTTCTAAAAGGTATATAGAAACACTAAAAATTAATTAACCCGTTTAGCTTGAATTATTGGAATAAGACTCAATTATACGAATTTCAAGAAATCTAACAATAAAGTTATTATCTATGAAACCGTTTTATGATTGTTTATGAATCATATACGCAACCAGCATTAAATTTATTGAGTACTTCAAGTGCGAAAACGAACAAGGTTAGCAGAGGGTGAACGGATATCTAAGCGATAAATTTTTGTCGACTCATTTGTGAACATAATGGTAAAGTAATGTTCATGTGAAAATGATTGTGGCGGGAAGAAAATGTTCAGTAAACAAGCTTGATTGCTTTGGAAATGATTGGCACTCAAGAAAGAAGGCTGTATTTGCACAGAAAGCAATCTGCTCCTACACAAAAAGGCCGAATCGAGTAAAGAGAAAAGTCAAAAAAGTTTGTAGAAATTTGATATCAATCGTATAAACATTAATTTATTCTATTCAACGTGATTAAACTAGTGTTCAAGCTCATAGCACTAGAAGAAGCAAGCTAGAAGCAACGATAGAAAATCAACAACATAATTCGTTATAAGTCTTTTTTTTTTTTTTTTTTTTTTTTTTTTTTTTTTTAAGGGGGGAAAATCATCGAATGACTGCCCCCGCCTGGGTGAGGCGGGAGGGAGTGTCAGACTCTTACTGACTAAAAACCACCCCGTTCCTTCTCCTGCACGTCGAGCCGGAGCCCCGGTTACCCGTTAGGTTCTCCGCGACTCCAAATCGGCATCGGCCCTATTGGGCCCCATCTGTGGTGGTCTGATGGCTCTTTGAGGCGCGCGCGGAACGCGACGCGCCGTACGCTCGGGTCTGTTTCTGGTCGGACGGGGAGCCACCCATGCTCGCCGTCCGCAGGCCCGCGCTTACGGTGGCCGGAGATCGTCCCGCGATCCCCGACGCCCGGTGTGTCCTTCGCGATGGCTGGGTTGCGAGGAGGCAGCGCTTCGCTGCCTCACGCGTCCCGCCTCCTCCTTAGCTAGCATGACTGCTTCGCAAAAGGAGGAGACGGCATCCCAATCCCCCTCGCTCCGCATCATGGCCTGCACTAGGCCCGGACGCGAGAGGTCGCCATCGCCGATCACTTCCCTGAGGACACGGCGGTGCTCAGCCCACGAAGGGCATTCTCCCACCGTGTGTTCCACCGTGTCCTCAGGGCGGTCCTCGCAGTGATGACACCCGGGCGTTTCCTCCCGCCCCATCAGACACAGGTACCTCCCGAAACTTCCATGTCCGGTGAGGACCTGCGTCAGGCGGTAGGTGAGGACGCCGTAGCGTCTCTCAAGCCACTCCTCAAAGAGGGGACTTACCGCTGCGATGGCAGCGAGCCCATCGTTATAAGTCTAGATTGTCTAGAAAGACAAAACGGCTTACATGTAATGAAGATTGATGCGAAGTTGAGAACGGGCAGACAAGGAAATTACAGCTTCATTTCTACTCCGTGTAAAGAAGAGAACGGTCGTAGGAAACTGTTACCTAGTTCCCGGTATCGATGTAGCCCCGTTGAATATAGGTAAACAAATAATTGCATGCCCGGTGCGATGAGTGAAAGGATTGACGTCATGAAATCTGTGCGTCCTACAGCGCCCGCACGAGCCTCTCCGGTGAGGTCAGGGTCGGGCCAGGAGCGACGAGAGACGGGATCGATGGCGCGCCCTTGTCCCTCGTATTAACAGTTTTCCGTCCCCCGGCCGATAGTCGACACTTTTTAAGTCACTTGTTGCGTTCATACCATTTTGCCAACTTTAATAACCCGGTATAAACCGATTTATTGCTAAGACACTTATTCCTCATTTACTCGTAATTTTCAATCTTTGACGCACCAGCTAAATCATATATTGCACTTAAGCGTTTTGATAACATCAAACATTATTTAATATT